ACATTACACTTTGCCAAGCTTATCATTACTGGTGCTTTCCAGTTTCTGGAGTGTACAATCTCTCTGAATCCAGTGAAAGTTGTGCCAGGTGGTTATACAAGATGTGAAGTGGTAGAAATAAATTTTTTCTCTACTTTCTCTGCTAGCTGAAGCCCAGCTTGGTGTGTCATAGATCTGCTTTCTCCTGAGAGCACAAACCTGTGATGGTTCCTACCCAAACCCCAAAGATTCTGCAGAGCCCACCAGGTCAGATCCTTCTCTGCATGGCATTGGCACAAACCTGCATTAACTCAAGTGCCTGAATTAGTCTGGGTTTACCCTCATGTAAGAGACACTGATACCTGACCCAGTGTGCTGAGTGAGATCCCTGGCCCGTGGCCAGTGGGTTGTAGGGAAGAATGAAAGACAGTTACCCTGGATTTACACTGGGTTATCTGAGATTAATACAGGCCTTACTATTTACAGAGCACCTACTGTAACTGCAAAGAAAAGAATATGGCAAAGCCAACATGCTACAAGGCTTCTATGGGTCTTTCTTCTTCTAAAATTCTTTTCATTGGGCTAGGTAATATAATAGGTTAATGAGCTAAATTGTTGCCTGAGGGACAGAAGTTGCATGTTTAAACTTCCACCCACAGAGCTGAAAATGCCCCTTGTGAAAGTCAGAGGTAATGATGGAGCTTGTGTGTCTGGCTTATAATTCCACCTTTCTTGATACAACTCCAGTGAAATGGAGAATAGTCAAAAAAATGAAACTGGGAGCCCTGAACCATTCTATGCTATTGGCTCCAAATACAGAACTTTAGTCAGGATAGAATTTAAGGCATGTGAAATAGAGAAAAAATTAAGTAAAACTGGAAATAAAGAAAAATCCATAAAAATCTTGTGGAGAATTTCTCCTGCTATATAACCTTGCCTCCTCAACTACACTTTAGAAGAGTCCAAAGGACAACTGGATGAAAGGAACTAAAAAAATACAGCCTCGACCTGTACAGAACTAAAGAATTACTAAGGCTGGGAAAGACCTCCAAGGTCAAGTCCAACCTCTGTCCAAACACCACCTTGCCCACTAACCCCTAGCACTGAGTGCCACCTCCACTTGGTTTTTTGAGCACTTCCAGGGATGGTGACTTCACCACACCCCTGGGGAGCCTGTTCCAATGCTTAACCACTCTTTCCAGTGATGAACATCTTCCTAATATCCAACCTGAATTTGTGCTATCTCTGGTTGTCTGGGAGAAGAGCCTGACCGCACCTCAACACAAGCTGCTTTGAGGTGGTTGTGGAGAGCAGTGAGCTCTCCCCTGGGCCATCCTTTCCTGCCACATCACTGCTGGAGCAGCAGAGGAGAGAGCTAAGGACAGGAGGCAGCCTTGGGTGGCTAAAAAGCAGCCCCTGGTGCTGCTCTCACCTTCAAGCACAAGATCTGTGTCACCACCACAGCTCACCAACACCTCCAGATCCCTGCATCATCTGGGACACATTTCCACTGACTCCAATGCCAAGTGCAAGTCCTGCAGCTGCTCCTTCCAGCACAGCCTGGGGCAGGGAATGGTGTGGAGCTGGGCTGTGTGTCCTGCTCAGCTGCCCAGAGAGCCACACACATAAAGACACACTCTGTTCTTGCAGGAATGTAATCCTCGATGTAAAGTTTGTCAGCAAAAATATAATTCACCATGAAAGAATGAACTACTGTCTTGCTAAAGCATCAAGAGCAGTCTGGGAGTCTGAGGCAAGTGTTGGGAAACTGAGCAACCTGTGTTTGTTCCTCTGACCAGCACAACTACAACAAAAATGTAAAAACGCTTCCAGTGCTAGAACATTTAACAGCTCGGATTTCAAACAAGAAGGAACTATTTCAAAGCAGAACGAGTGTATGAGATGTTTGTTTCTCTAACTGAATGCAAACTGGATGTGGAATTTCCTCTTGGAAGAAACGACTGAATGGGAGATGGCTTGGACTCCCTTTTGTATATTGCATCATGTACAAAAAAGGATGATATGATGAATTGCAATTCTGAAGAATCCGGGCAAAAACAAAATAATTATTTCAGGTTAACACCTTCAGTGGGTCTTGCATTGTGCAATTCATGTTTCTGTTAGGTTTGAAGACTCTGGGGCCAGGGACAGTTTAGTTATGAAACTTGTATCACCAATGCTGAGTAAAATGCCCAAAATAATACTTATATCCCTTTAAGATAATGGGTTTAAAAGAGAAGTGGCATCAGTGGAGAGAAGCTGCAAGTTCAGTAGCAGTGGTAACAGAAGTCTAGTAACAGAACAACTCTCTGTCTTTAGATTTCCAGTACAGTCTGTTAATCTCAAGCACTGGGCTAACAAAGGCAAACTCAGAGCTATTTAAAATAACTTTACAAACCTGGCCTTATGTGTTTGCAAAGTGAACTGGATATATCAGTTCCTTGTGCAACACTTGAAACATGCTGCCAAAATATTAAGAATATACAAACATGACAATCAGCTCCAAATGCTTTCCACAGCTACAGGACACAGCAAGGACCAGCTGCAAGTACACCTGACAGAAGATGGGATAAAATCCTTCTTCTTTCAGGCATAGATAATGGCAACAGAGATGTTGCTAAGGCCAGTGGATGAGGTTTGGCTGGTGGGTGCAGGTCTCAGATCAGCATGGCTTCGTCTCCAGCCCTCACCTCTCCTACACGGGAACTGAGAACATAAAATCCCAATTTGTCTGGGGTAGGGGTGCAGGTTTTACTGCTGCTGGGAGCTCCTTAGGGAGCTGATCCATCTCCTCATGCACAGAGTCCTTGTAGTCTACAAATACTGTCACTACTAACACAAAAATAACATTCTGTCATACCACCCAAACAGCCTGCTCTATTTACAAGTTGTATCTGGACTTGACTTTTTAAATGAGGTTTTCCCTCTCTCTTACATGACTTCCCAGCATCTTCAAAGAGGATCTAGGTTTGGGAAATTAAGGATCAGAGGCCAAGTCACCAGGCAAGCTGTTTGCACATGAAGCATCAAAGCCCATTATTTTAATCTGTGGTAATTACCACTGTTAGTTAAATCGTGCTTCCCTGATGGTTCTCAACAATAAGCAACAAACGCACAACACATTAATTGCACAAAGTTGTTGCTTGTTCTGAGATCAATTTGTATTAACAGTAAAAGTTTCCATCTTAGTCAGCAAAGCTCTCTCACAGTGACTTTTACAGGGCTGGGAACAAATGTTTTACAGTGGAATTTTGCCTTGGAAGGATGAATTTTAAGGAGTTCACTATAAGCTAATGACTACAGACTTTGTGTTTCTCCTTAAAGGAGGAACTGTTTTGAGCCAGAGTTGCTGATAGCTGTAAAGGCTCCCCTCCTAAGTTCAAGCCCTCTATTAAATCTTCTGGATCCTCATGATGAAAATCCTTCACTCAGGATTTGTGAAGAATTGAATTCCACACCAAACATTTCAGCTATCTGGGTTTCTGGAACAATATATTTTCTTCTAAGAATTGTACCTACCCTTTTCTAGCAAACTCTACCCATCTACTCAGAGAATAAGAATCTAATTGTGTGACCTAAGTGTCCAGTCAGAATTAACCAATATGTCTAGAATTTTAAATGCTCATTACAAACCAAATCTAAGTCCAAGAACATCCTGCTGGACTCACACAGGGTGAAATTCCTGGGAAGCAGAGCACTGGCACAAGCTCCCTGCAGACAGAAGCAGGTCACTTATGCAGCACACAAGCTTTTGTGCCCTCCTGCACAGGGATGATCCTGATCCTGAGTTAAGAATCACAAATAACAAGTGATTTTGCACTGATCCTGCCCTGCTCACATGCAGACATTAAACCCATCAAACAACACTGTTTACTGTGACCCGTGTAAGATTGCAGCCATCCCAGCAGTGAGCCAACGTCTTTATCAGATTGGAACTGTTCACACAACACTGAACTTTCAATCCATGTCATCAGTGAATACACAATTATTTCATATTCCTCCCTATCAAGAGAATCCGGGTCCATTTGTATGCCAAGATGTTTTAGTGATCCACAAACAAACAAACAAACAAATAAATAAATAAACAATGTTATTACACCTGTTAACACATGGAGACTGTTTGTTTTGGCCATCTTGCATGAACTCTGAGTGCCAGGTTATGAATAAAATAGTGTTCAATACTGTAAACATCTTGTGACATAAATTCCTGGCTCAGCATAAATACTCTGTATGTGGCAGGTTCTTCCTGCATTCTCCAGCACTGACACCATTACATTCATGTATCTATGACAGAATATATTCATAATTGTAATTCCTAAAAAAAAATGCAATCACAGATAAGCCAATTTGCCCATCCTGGGCCTCTGCTTCACTGGATTTTGCTTGCTGGAGTTTGGGTTTTTGGAAAGCCAAGTGCAACTACTGTATCCCAGTGGTTTCTGCACATGCCGTACATTCCAGAACAGAAAGCAGGTTTTCTGTTTAAAGAACAGCGCAGTTAGAAAGATAAGATAAAACCAAACTGGAATATAATATTGCTGGGAAATTGTAGTCCTTTATGCAAACACAAAGTCAGCAATGTAAAGGATGCTTTCTGAACAACACTGGCAAGGGTTGAGTTTCTCACACTGCCAGGCTTCCTTCCCAAGCAAAACCTTGTATTACTTTAAGATCAGAATGCAAATACAGAGCAGACTCTGCTCTGGTTTAATCCACTGCATACAGGAATTAATTTCACTGATGTCACTGGAGAAACAAAGCTCAGACAGGCCTAAATGAAGGTAGGCTCCAGCCCTGAGGAAGGGACTGATGGTTTTGGCTCAAGCCTTTCTTTCATTTCAGGTGGCTGCAATGAGTCTAGGACTGGACTACGTGTGTAGGTCCTAGGTACCCTGAAAACCAGTTAAACCTTTGCTTCCTAAATATTTAAACTACAAATTAATGCAGACAGCATGTAGGAGCTCAGCAACCTGAACATCTTTGCTCTCAGAAAGAAAACACCACAAAGTGTTTGCTGTTACCTTGGACCAGTCTCCCGTTTTCCACTCGTAACAGCCCGTGTGATCCTCACACTCTTCCTCATCTCTCGGCCTGGTGGCTGCATCACATTTGCCTTGGGAGTTTGTGCACGTCACTGTTCTTTTCTGAATTCCCCTGCCACAGTCTGCTGAGCACTGCAAAACACCAAGGGTTTGGTTTTTGTTACATGGTGCTTAGAAATGATGGCTTTTATGTTGGTAACACAGCTCAGAGGGAAAGCTGGGGTTATGAACACTGAGGAAAATGATAATCCGTAAGATTTTATTACAATCATCTAAGCCACTCATACATGAGTAATTTGAAGAGCATGATGACTGCTTGTGAAATATTTTACTTATGAGAAATGGCAATTCTGAAAATCAACCTTCTTTAAAAAACCTCAGCTGGCTTTTTGCTAGAATTGATGCCACTAAATCTTCTGCTGAGGAGCTCCTCATTCATACTGAAGGACACAATGAGATTCATTACTCAGAACTGCCACATCCCTTGATGTATCATGGGATACATCAAGGGTGATAAATGGTGGTGTTAAATGTAATTTTAAATCACAGTAGCAGGAGACCACTGTTATAAACACGTTTCTGTAGTACAGTTTGTGCATATCATGGCAAAGTCACAATTCTCACACGTTCTCATGTGGAACACACACATCACGTTCACATTTTGATTTGCCATCTCTGCCTTAATGCTGAAAACTCTAACAAACATTTCCTGAGTGAGCACAAATTATCCACAAATGTTCTTGTGCCTGGGCTCTATGGAATTAGTATCTAAAGAGCAGGGATATCTGGTCACTCACTTGTTATCTTTGCCAGTGGTTGGAAATTCTTGTTTAATGAAGAATTTGTCTTGATTTTCTTGGCTGTATGAGGTGGGTAAAGGACACTGGCACGAAATGAACCCAAATATCTGTTTTCAATAAGCAGTTTGGTAATAGAGCACCTGCTGTCACAGCCAGTCCTTGTCACCACCCCTGAGCACAGCCAGTCTGCCTGCTCCTCATTCTCATGCCACTGCAGTGGTTAAGAGTGAGAAATTGTCTTGCAGAGCCACTGGGGACAGGTGGGTGGAGAAATGATCTATGTACCAGCTGAGATAAAAACTAACCTCCTCTGGCATGTCAAGTTCTCCCCTTCGGGGGGCCAGCAGGGAAAAGACAGTTGATTTGACACTGAATAAATAGTGAAGATATGAGATATTCTGTGAGGTCTTTTGAACATGTTCCAAGAAGCTTCTCCATCCAGGGGGTCTATGCTGGAAACAAGCATCAGCTTGATATAAATTACATCAAATGGACAAATCTCAGCATGCCTGTCTAACCGTCTTAAAAACACAATCCAGGCAGCTCTGACCTGCTGGCCTTGTTAAGGACATGAGTGACAAGCGTTTATGAGCTGGCAAGCAAACAGACATGCCTTTAAATACTTCACAGCACTACAAAGTGACTCCTTGAAAATCTGGGAAACCTTCCACTTAATTTACTGTGTGCTGCTCACGGCGTGACCCCCTCACGGATGTAACATCTTTGTAAGGAGCACAATGTAAAGTTCTAAGACAGGGGGATGAATTCTTCCCAGCTTTGCAGAATTCCACAAAATGCTTTGCTGGACTGCTCAGAGCACAAGGCTTGCCAGAGATCCCAGGCTGGAGCTCCCTAAATGGTACCTTAAAGCCATGAATTTGGCCCAAGTTGGGTAGACTTTCCCAAATTATATATCATTTTCCTCAGGCCCCAGGGTGGACTCCTCAGGGTTGCACTCGTTCATCTCAAACTACAAAGCTCAATATATAAAAATCTTTGGAACGGTCCAAATTACTCGAAGTAAATCAAGCTGAAGTGGGAGTATTTTTCACAGTAGGAGAAATCTCTAGGTGGGTTTTACAAGCAAGTCTGGGAAAAACACCAACTGTTTGTTCTTCCCACAGCTTTTAAGTCATTTACAGATTAATACTGCATATACTTTCCTAGACAAAACAGCATGAGCAAGGAGGTTTCCAACAGATCTTTGGTGGTCACATATAAATCACCCTCTTTAAGAGGTTTTTTTCCTTTCCTCAAGTCATCTGTTTTCATGAAGAATTTCCTAATACATAGATTTTACAAAGAGTCTACAAATTAATAGACACAGTTTCTGTGTGTCTACTCAAGATCATTAAGTCTTATTTTATTAACAAAATACTTTGTCAGATGCCATGAGGCTTTGCAAAGGAGCAACACAACTTTGCAGTTAAGACACAACTCCTTTATCTGAAGGAAATCCATATTTTTTTCCACTTTAGTTCTCTAGCAGTAGAAACATTCACCTTCTCCTGACAGTCTCTATTTTTATCATTAAAAATGGGTTGAGCAGTACTTTGTCCAAAACAATCTCAAGTGTTTGGCAATACAAGGGGAACTTAATTTTTTCCACAATGAAGATTGCATTGGAATTTGCTGTGAAAACACACATTTTTGACCAGGGACCAGACATCAGTGCGGTCAACTGTGTTGTATAAGCAAGAAGTTGAAAAAAAATAGATCAGAAAATTGATTTATAAAAATCATACAATTACAGTGATATTTATTCCCCAACATCAGATTAACATGCTAAGGAATAAAGTGATTACCACTGAAGAAAGTCCTAGGTGTGAGAAGGGTTCACACTGGCAGAGCATCAAATGTGTCCTGGAGTCAACTGTGCTACATAACAGCAGAAATGGGCCAGAATAACAAATTCAAAATTACAAGTGCACAGTTACAGACCCAACAAAAGTAAATAAATGTATCAAAGGATAAGTAAATCAGCTATTGAAAAAATGATCTAAAAATGCTGTGTGTTTGCAAAGGAGTTACGTGGTCATGGATATGGAAGATTTCCACTGATCTGTTACTTGACTTACTCTATTCCATAATAGGGAGACAGAAGTACCTGGGATTGTTAACAAAAGACTCAAGTAAAAAATCCACACGTAAACCAGATAGGAACTGCACCCTAATCTCAGCTATAAACAGTTCAGCTGGTTTAGCTATAAGAAATAAAGAGGGCATCATCTGAAAGGGGAACGTCTACGACACACAAAAGACCCATCAGACAACTTACTAAAACCTTGGTGTGTTTCTGCACATCTTTTGTAATGAAAGAACTCAGAAAGAACACGGATCTCATGCACCAGTGAATGGATCCAGCACCCCACTGAAAGGGAACACTGCTCTCACTAAACCATCACCTCTCTTGCCAAACTAAGATTTCCTGTCCAGGAGGTGCACAATGAAATCCCATTGTGCTTGTGAGGAGACAGTTCCTCAGGATCCCTTCTATCCTGAGCTTCTGTGACTTTTAAGCACATTTCTAACAATAATATTTAGCAAAAGCTCTTTGACAATGTTTTAAACAGGAGCTCCCTGTTCCAAATAGAGGTGAATAATGAGTCCTTCCCATAGGAAGGGCTGTAGCTGGACAGCCAGGCTGGAATGAGGCTGGCAGGGCTGCAACCCTGCACCCAGAGTGGAAAGAGCTCATCACTCAGGTGAGCCTAGCAAATACAAAATCAGAGTGAACTTGGGCATCCTGTAAGGATTGTTACTCACAGGGTACAGACAAAGTTGCCCTGCACTAGCTGAGCCCTGGTCATGAACTGCAGGCACACTCCCAGATCACTCTGCTGCTAAACAAAACCCAGGGCAACTGTCTAGATCTCCCATGCATTCGTAACACTTGGGAAAAATTTCTGTACTCTGCAACTACTCTGAGATGCACCTTTTATACAAAGTATCACCAGCTTTTTCTTGTTCCTGGAATTACACAAAAGAAGGCTGGATAGGGCCCAAAGACTGTGCATTCTCTGTAACATGCAGATGCCTGATAAGCCTGGTATTTCTTCATACCACATTTAAATGGAGCTAAAAGCCCTGGCTTACTGCACTTCTGGCCTTAGGTCAGTGAAACGTTTTTCCTTCTGGTCCCAGTTTTCAGATGGAAAGATACAGTCACTAGAGCCCATCTAAACTCTGCCTTTCTAACCCATCTGGTCTGTAAACCAAATCTCAGCTCCTCACTGCTCACAGATGAAAGTCCTGCCCAGCACTCCAGTGCTGTGAGGGTGCTGACCATGAGAACCATGGATTAGGGCCAGTGTATCCGGAGCTCTGAGCAGTCTGGCTCCTTTCTGGAGTGAAGTTCCTACCTTTGACCACTCTGATGCTTCCCAGATGGACAGGCAGTCCCTTCCCTCACAGCTCTGCACCGTGGCTGGTTTGCTGCCCAGGCAGTAGAGATCCCTGGTGTTGACGTAGGTGCCGTTCTGCAGCTGATAAACACAAGTGACCTCCCGGTGCTGCACACCCTTCTCACAAGTGGCAGAGCAGGGACTCCAGTGGCCAGTCACCCACCTGGGAAGGAGCCAGAGGATAAATGTTAGCAAACTGTTGGAATAAAACATTATGCTTCACTTCAAACCAGTGAGAAATGGGTCTTCCTGGATTTGTGGGTGCTTTGATGGTGCTGTGCTGTCGTCACCCTGAGCTCACTGGTCCCCTCTGGGAGCTGAAGTGTGTAAAGCAGGAGTGTCAGCATCCAAGGGAATATTCCTTCCCGACTCCACACCAGGCAAAACCCCAAACTCTGCACCACTCCCTTTAACCCCACTGTCTGCAGTGGGGCTGTTTTATTCCCTCAGATAAAGACAGACTTGTCTGCAGACCATCCTGCAAGACCATTCCTTGCAAGGGAAAGGAGACATCCTTCCCCCTCTGTCTTCAGCTCCACTGACTCCAGCAAGTGCTGAAGCACCACAGTGGGGCTACAAGGCAGTGAATAAAGTGTCTAAGAAGGATCTGAAGGAGGATGGATGGAGGGAAGGACAATTTTTTTCTAAAAGAAAAGCAGCATCGATCTTTAGCTTCCTGCAATCTGTCAGTGAGGAGCATGTGCTCTGTAATTACAGGCATTTCTGGGTGGAGAGAGGGACTGCAGCAATAACTGTGCAGGCACTGAGCATGCCTTTCTCACCAGGCAGCTGACCTTCTAGCCTCTTATTCAGGACTGTCATCCAGATCAGCATCCCTACACCATGAATCTTTTACTTGTCACCCAATCCTGGGCTGTCTATTATGGTAAGTGGCTCAAACAAGACTTCTCAAAAATAGGTCTGCTGAGAAATACTATTTCATTCTGCTGCAGGCTCCTGTAATCTAGGTAGAGCAACTTATTCACCACATTTCTTTTGAAGCTGTTGTCTGTTACTTCTTTGAAGCATCTCCCATCTTCCCATTCCAGAAGGGGGGAAAATCAGTTCAGCACCATATGCAGAAACATCTTCACCTGCTGCAATTGTCATGAATTAATTTGTAAATGCCATGACTGGCGTGACAGCACTGATGACTGTGCTGACAGTGAAGGCAGAAGCCATTTGGTTTGGGCAGGACCGGGCAGACTGGCCACCTGTCTTTTGTGGAACACGGCCCTGCTCAAATGTTCCCTTGCATTAAAGCAGTTGACTGACACATCTGTGAATTTCTGTTGGCTAAAACAGCTGGCAAGACACCAAACCTGTTTCTCCAGACTGCAGTTTTGGTGCATCTCTGCAGCCCAGAGCTTGGTATTTCTCTTATGGAATGGGAAAGTGTCAGCTGGGAAATTGAATACTGGGGCTGAAAGACTGACAAAAATAGCCCTGAAGTGCAGAAATCAATGGTCATGAAAATTAATAGCCAGGCCCCCTTGGTATCAGCTGGGCTCTGCCCTGTTGGAGCCAAAGTGAGGGAATTCTCCACCTGGGGGAAGGAACCTCTTGACAAAGGCCTGGAGGGGATGAAATGACTGTGCTTTATGAGCTGAACGTGAGTCACAAGGCTGGGAAAGGGCTCTGTCCAGGCTCCACTCAGCTAATATTCACTTCAGCACTGTACTCTCACTGTGATCTACAGCTACTGGCAAAAGAAAAAGGGAAAGGGGCTGAAAGCAAAGGAGAAAGATAAAAATACATTCTTGGCAGAGGCTGTCTGTGAACTTGCATTCAGGATGGGCAGCACTCAGCATGCCAACTATTTCCAAGATGCTTTAAGAAGAAAGGTTATGGCTTTCCTTTTAGGGAGGAAAATTCCTTATTAATTTTTTGTTTGTTGCTCTTCTGGAGGGGTTTCTACCTGGTTTCTACCCTGTTTGCTGGTCTCTAGTCTGTACCAGCACAGACATGACAGAGTGTAACTAGAAAATCAGCACAGAAAAAACAAGTATTATCATCATCATGAGAAGAATGATTGCATAGAGAACGAGCTGAAACCCAGGGTACCAATACAAATATGTGTCTGTGATGAAAACAGTCTCCAGCTTTTTCCTTGGAGAGGTCAGCTTTAGCCACCATCCACAACATCCACTCCTGATCCCAACCCCATGGCTATGAATCAGTTGGGGCAATGCTGGAAGGGATCTCTGAAACCTCACAGGCCACTCTGCCCTGGCAAGACAGGCAAAATACTTAGAAATTAAAGGCTATTTTAAAATGGTAGTTTTACTTTCACATCCAGGAAACAAGTGACATTAAATGTCTGAATAATACTAATATGTATAATAGGTTATTTTCAAAAGGGGATGATCACTTTGACCACTAAACTTCAAGCTCTCAATGAAATCTATGCTTGAATCAATGGCTTGTAAAAGCAGTCTGGTAAACAAGTGAAGGTGAGTCCTATTTACAGTCCTGGCAGTGCCCTGAATCCCCCCAGTTCTCCTTCACAGGCAGCTGAAAATATTGTTTTAGTGCTTGTAAAACAGGAGCACTGTAACTATATTTCAACAATGTTCACAACCAACATGGAAAGAGAAGCGATTTACGGAAAAAGTGATTAAAGATGAAAATTCCTGCCAGTTTCAAATTTTTGAAAGGAATTTGCAGTAAGATATCAGCAGGATTACTATCTGCAAGTAATATAAACACAGGGGAGAAAAACATGATGTTCAAATAGTATCACATCATGGGAACTATTACATTGCACCACAGGTAGATTTTTGTCTCTACACTCATTACACATTCTGAACACACCTGAGTGTGTTTAACAGCAAGACCTACTGAGAGGGTAATTTTCTTTAAAAAAGCATAGGTATTTTTCTTATGACAATGTCAAAAATAACTCCAGTGTTCTAACTCCAAACCCAGGCTGGCTCTGTATTATTAACTAAGCCAATTAACTCTGTACACTAAGCTCTGTGTATATCACATAAAGCATCTGGCTTCCAGTTACACTTTAAGCCTGTAAACTGATCTTAGGGATTGCTTGACACCAGAGCTCTTTTCAGTTTGGTCTTTCCCTCCTAGGTTATAACCTATCTTGTGTGGGACCATGGGAGTGCTCCAGCTGGGGTCCCAGCAGAGCCTCTCATTTTGCCAACAAGCACTGATTTATGTGACAAACACACTCATCTTTCTCACAACCACAGGGATGGCTTCATCCCTGGTATTATTTTTTGTCATCTTACCTCTACAGAAGATTCAAAAGCTAAGTGATCCCTGCTGGTGGTTGGATTCAGGAAGAAAGTGATGAGCTTTTAATCAGAGATTTTTACCCCAGTCAGTGGCTGTCTTTCTAGCTAAAATATGCCCAGAAGAGTGTGATTTTCAAAAGCTTAAAAAACTGGGATGGGCAGGACATGCAATCTGAGAGGGCTGCTCTGAATCTTTGTCTTCTGAGTCTTCCTCAACCTCTGACCTCTCAGTATCTCTTCTGAGGAATTGGGAGTTCTTCTTCTAATCTGCTTTGGCAACACTCATCCGGCAGGCCCCTGGAGCAAACTTGAAATATCATTTAGAGATTCAGCTCATCATTTGATCTTTCTATGGTCTGGATTAGTTATGAACCTTGAATTATCTACTCTACCTACTTGCCTAAGACTCCCACATTTTCTAGGAAAAAGAATTGCCTGCAGCATAATGTACATAAACCCAGGGGAGATGAATATCTGCAAATGAGGGCTTGTAGCTAAAGATTTGGGGAAAAAAATGTTAGGAAGATAAAATGGATCAAGGCTGAAGCATAGGGGTGAGGGAGTGCAATCAAAAGACATGAGGTCATTTTTCAGAGATTTGCAGCCTCTTACAGCATAAAGCCATTACATCTTCTGGGGTAAATACTGCAGCCCATTAAATTTCTTCTGTTTTTTTATGCCCTGAGCTGTGCAGAAGAACAGTGTGATGTCTTCCACTAACTACACACCCATGCCATGTTCACACATCCCCTCACTACCTGCAGGGTACTTTTGTTGCCTTCTCAATGCTACAGTGACATTTATTTCCCTGCTTTCACAGCAATAGCTTGGATATAACCAAAGACATGTTTGCAATAACACATTTTTTGGTTATTAAACCTCTTCTTTTAGAGCTGGCTCTTACCTACAACCAGTTTAGAGCCTGTACTGCTGCTGAGTAAAGCATCAGAGGAAACTTCCTACAAAACATGTCTGAAAAAGTCCTATGACAGAAAATATCAAAAGCCCTGTAACCCACGGGTTCTATTTCTAATAGATTTTATTGAAAACCTTTTGGTTTAATGCACAGGTGAGGATAACTCCATGCCCAGTTAGCACTGGTCATCTTTAGCACCAATTTGTGATGCAAAACCATGTCAAAGTCACTCAGTTTTCTGAGGCACCTGGATGAAACTGTGGCTTTATTGATTTAGGCAAAAGTCAGACCAACATTCAGCAGGGCCAGGATTTCACATTGGATAATTTTAGCAAGGAGAATTGAAAAAGATTTCTGAGAATCAGTCATGTGGAACTGACAGATATACTTTGCTTACAGCTGTCAAACCAAGCTCATGCTCGACTATGTAGAAGAAAAGTCTCTTTGCAAATGGAATTGTGTTTTCCATGAAACACACACACACACACACACACACACACACACTCTGCAATTGGACTGTCCTCTCCCCATATTCTCCTGAAGCTCTCCACCACCCCTCTGCTGCACTGGGCTCAAAACAATCAGGTGAATCTTTTCTTTTGGGAACAGGTTGTGCCACACCCAGTCACTAGAAGGCTTTTTTTTTTTGAGAGAAGTACAAGGAATCTAGTAGAATAATACAGCTGCTGATGTTGAAAGTAGGACTCCAAGACTAACATTCCTGTCTGATTGCCTTTATAAACAGTGCTCAGTAATTTTCCAGTACAGTAGTCATTCTGCTAACAGACTTGCCAACTTTCACTCACACAAGTTTCTTTTTTTCTTTAGTGATCATCATTTTGACAGCTTTTTAGTTTTTTTTCCCAATTTCCCACCAATAAGATCAGCCATGGAACAATGTTTTATAATTTACATATACCCTGGGAAGTTCTTTTTTCAAATGGAAGCCATTGTATTCCCTCTCCTCCTCCCCCAGATGAGCAGGACTCAGTG